TAGGGTGAGACAGAACCACATTCTTGTGTTCCTTCGATTGTGTTGGGGCCAATTTTGTTTGATGCTTAGCATTCTTCGTTAGTTAGTGTTGGAATCTTGGTGATGATGGATAAAAGGTTAAGGTTTAGATGGATCTTTGAATGAGAAACTTGTTTTGGCAGGTACCCAGCAATTAACAAACCAGTGGGAGTTCTTCACTGGCTTCAACACAGTGAAGATGCCAAAAATGTGGATTGGGTCGTTATTCTTGATGCTGACATGATCATTAGAGGTCCTATCATCCCTTGGGAACTCGGTGCAGAAAGAGGAAGACCCTTTGCTGCGCATTACGGGTATACATATATACCTTTTCTTCAGTCAAACCGAAATCTCTAGCCTTTTGTTTCCTTGTTGCTCACACCTTTATCTCTATGAAATAGCTACTTGGTAGGCTGCGATAACATGCTTGTGCGATTGCACACTAAGCATCCAGAACTCTGTGACAAAGTTGGCGGTCTTCTCGCTATGCATATGGATGATCTTCGCATCCTGGCCCCTCTTTGGCTATCAAAGACGGAAGATGTTCGTCAAGATACAGCTCACTGGGCCACCAATCTTACCGGAGATGTTTACGGCAAAGGTTGGATCAGTGAGATGTATGGTTACTCCTTCGGTGCTGCAGAAGTAATCTCAACACCTTCCTTCTCATGCTTTAACAATGACAGTGTTCAGTACGTTTGATTTCGATTATAAACTGTGTGAATTTGTTTTTCATCCACAGGCAGGACTTAAGCACAAGATCAACGACGACTTGATGATATATCCCGGATATGTTCCACGAGAAGGTGTTGAGCCTATTCTTATGCATTACGGTTTGCCTTTTTCCATTGGGAACTGGTCTTTCACTAAACTGGACCACCACGAAGACAATATAGTCTATGACTGCAACCGTCTCTTCCCCGAGCCTCCATATCCAAGAGAGGTAAACTTAACAAGTTCTCAACTCCACTTTATGTCTCTCTGATTGATGCAAATTACTGAGAAAACAATTTTCATTGAATAGGTGAAAATGATGGAACCTGATCAGTACAAGCGAAGAGGTCTACTTTTGAGTCTAGAATGTATGGATACATTGAACGAGGGACTCATACTGCAGCACGCAGAGAATGGGTGTCCGAAACCAAAGTGGAACAAATACTTGAGCTTTCTGAAGAGCAAAACTTTCATGGAGTTGACAAAGCCTAAACTGCTTGCACCAGGAAGTGTACATATCTTGCCAGAACAACATGAGCCTGTACCTGTTGACGAATTCAAAGGAGCTCATCCAAAGATCCACACACTGTTTTCCACTGAGTGCACAACTTATTTCGATTGGCAAACAGTCGGGTTCATGCACAGTTTCAGGTTGAGTGGTCAGCCCGGAAATGTCACTCGGCTTCTCAGTTGCACGGATGAAGATCTTAAGAAGTATAAAGGTCATGATTTGGCCCCGACGCATTATGTTCCTTCGATGAGCAGACATCCTCTAACTGGCGATTGGTAAGATAGCAGTTAACCTTAGGTTTTGCAGTTAATCCCTTGATCTTATTCTAATTTTCTCGTGTTCTTGACTGAATCAGGTACCCAGCAATTAACAAACCAGCAGCGGTTGTTCATTGGCTTCACCACACGAATATTGATGCAGAATACATAGTAATTCTTGATGCTGACATGATCCTCCGAGGACCCATCACTCCTTGGGAGTTTAAGGCAGCTCGAGGCCGACCAGCTTCAACTCCTTACGAGTAAATATACAAAGTTTATGTTCCCTCTTTAGATGATGTGGAACTCTTTATAACTCTCTGTCTCTTTCTTTTAATTAGCTATCTTATCGGATGTGACAACGACCTTGCAAGACTTCACACACGTAATCCTGAGGCTTGTGATAAAGTTGGTGGAGTCATTATAATGCACATTGAGGATCTCCGAAAATTTGCAATGTACTGGTTGCTTAAAACCCAGGAGGTTCGAGCAGACAAAGAACACTACGGGAAGGAGTTAACCGGGGATATATACGAGTCCGGCTGGATCAGCGAAATGTATGGTTATTCATTCGGTGCTGCAGAGGTAAAACTTATCATAACTCTGTAACTCTGATTAATAATTGGATTTTGAGACTTGGGTCTGAATAGTTATATATTGACATTGCAGCTGAATTTGCGGCACATGATAAGCAAAGAGATATTGATTTACCCCGGGTATGTTCCTGAACCTGGTGTTGACTATCGAGTTTTTCATTACGGTCTTGAGTTCAAAGTCGGAAATTGGAGCTTCGACAAGGCAAATTGGAGGAACACCGATCTGATCAACAAATGCTGGGCCAAGTTTCCGGACCCGCCTAATCCTTTGTCAGTCCATCATACAGACAATGATCTACGGCAAAGAGACCTTCTGAGTATTGAATGCGGACAGAAGCTGAACGAAGCTCTGTTTCTGCACCACAAGAGAAGGAATTGCCCTGAACCTGGATCCGAGTCGAGCGAGAAGGTCTCGAGTTTGAGAAAAGTCGGTGTATATGAAACGAAACAAGCCCAAGGAAGCGATGATACCAAAGAAACGACTGATTCGTCAGAGTCTGAAGGGAGATTCAGCGCGTTGAAGTTATGGGTGATCGCATTGTGGTTGATATCTGGTGTAGGGTTCTTGGTAGTGATGATTTTGGTGTTCTCAAGTCGTAAAGTCAGAGGAACAACAAGAGGGAAAGGTTACAGAAACAAGAGACGAACATCATACTCGAACACGGGGTTCTTGGACACGAATGATCGAGATAGGTATGTTCGTAACACAGATACCTGAGAAAGAGAAAGAAGATCCGGGACAGGAGGGTTTCTGTTAGAATCTGAGCATTGTAGATACAATTAAACCAGAAAAGGTGGAGACATTTTGTTTGAAAATCCCCAAAGTGATATAGGTTTATTTGTATTCTTAAAGGATTTGTATTTTTTTCTTCTCGAGATTTCTAAATTCGTGTTTTATATGTTTCAAAACACCCAAGGAACAAAAAATCTCAATCTCTTAGCGCAAATTCGCAAGAGAAATTTCACATTTTGCTTCAGAAAAATGAAAAAACAAGTCCCAATGAAGTTGTCCCGTTTGGTAA